TTTTTTTATTTATTGAATAATTGTGAAACAAAACTAACTCCATATAAGAGGAACAGGCAGAAATTAGTGTACTCATCTCTTTGCACCTTTGATTAATAAGAGAGAAGAAGCTTAACTCCAACCTGTTTGATTGGGAAAAAAATCTTAAATTTATTGTTGACCTTCTATCTAACCAGCCCCTCCTCTTCCTCTCTGTCCCCTCTTTCCTCCACTCTTTCAAGGTTCATCGGCTTGACTCCACCTTTTCAAATCGGCTTCCCCGCAGCCCTGCCTATTAGTGGGGAGGGAATTGGAAGCGGCGCTATCAGTGTGATTGAAGGACAGAGAGGAGCATGAGTGAGTGTTTTTGTGTTTGTGCTGCTGAAGCATGGAGCAAAAAAAAAAAAGGGGGGGGGGGGCTCCCCAACGTTAAAAGAGGAGAAAAAAAGAGAGGAAAAGACACCTACAGAAACACGTGGAAGAAAGAACAAGTTAGAGGTAGATGAGAGGAGAGGCAAAAGGCCGAGCGGAGGCCATGGAGGTTGTGAAAAGACAGGGGCCCACACTGAGATCACACCTGCTCTCTGACATGCAACACACACATACACACACTTTTGTGGGTTACAAGTCATGTGCAAATGCAAGTAAGAAGGGTTTAACAGTGAATGAACAACTAAAATAGGGTGCATGGCACTAAGGGGCCTGCAGGAAGCTTTTCTAAAAGGCGCTGGTGACTGAGCCGATATCTAATCCTCTGGGGGCCAAATATTAATCAGTTAGGCCTAATCTGTTTAATGTCAGTAACACAATATGGTAATCAATTTAAAAGGTCATTTTAACTCTAAGGTTTTATGTTTTGGAACATAAATATTCACACTTTCTAAACCTCTAGTTCTTCTATAAATGGTGTAACAAGATGGGATTTTTTTCCAGAACTTGCTGTGGGTCGCTTTTTGCCAGTTAAAGTAAAAATGCAATATTATTTTTATGAGACACCAATTTTAGGTCTTAAAAAATTTTATGTTATCTTATTATATAGATAATAAAAGAAGAATGATCGATTGCCGGTGATGATAGAACAACGGCATGGACATTTTCATTAGTGCTTCCAGAAAATATTCACACTGCTTCCACATTTTGTGACAGATTAAAAATGTATTACATTTGTTTTTTCAGCTGTGACAGCTTTCTTAAGCTAATTTATTTAAAATAAAATATCAAAACCAAACAAAAAAAATCTTATGAAGAGTTATTTTGTAGATTTATTTTGGGAGATTTTCAACCATTTTTCATTGCAGATCTTCTCACGTTAAGCCAACTTGAACACTTATTAATAAACAGTCATTTTTATGTGTTTACATAAATCTCAATTGGAATTGGAGCATGTGCTCCAGCTGCAGTCAAGAATATTCACAGAGTGATCCTTACCCACTCTATTGTTATGCTAACTGTGCGCTTTGGGTCACTGTTGTGTTGGGAGACGAGTTAGTCTTATTCTGAGTTTCTGAGCATTTTGCATTTGGCTGCTGTCATCTTAACCTTGGTTTAGACTTGTCAACTCCTCCTGCAACTTTAAAACACCACCAGAGTATAATGCAGCCACCACCATGCTACACAATATGGACAAAGTTAGTCAAGTGAAGAGTAGTGTCTGTTTTTCTTCAGTCAAGATGCTTGGAGTTCAGACCAAAAGCTTTTAGTTTAATTTCATCAGACTAGATGGTCTGACAACCTCTTAGATAGTTTTCAAATGTTCTGGCAACCGAGGTAGCTTTATGCAAAAAGTTGGGCCACCCGGGTAATATTCTGTAAAAAATAATGTCAACCTAAGTAGTTTTCTGTAAAAATAATGGCAACTTAGGTTGATTTCTGCAAAAATCTTTAAGACATGAAAGGTTTAAAAACGGAAATATCTATAACTTACACCTTAGCTTTTTTTAAGTGCCACTGTTTTGTGGGACTTAAATTCAGTTTATTTATTATGTTTACTTTATTTCACTTTATTTGTTGAAGCATAAAAGGATAAAAATCTATGTAGTTGAAGCTAAGCTTAAGGCCTTGCAAGGATAAACAATGGATAGATGTTAAACTTTTTTGTGAATTGAAAACCTTAAATTTTATAAGAGTGAAATGAAATGCAATTATTTTTTTACGGTAACACAGAATGGTCACCATTAACGGTTAACAACATGCACTCCCGCGCTCCTCACACCACAGAATGAAAAAACTACAGCTCTAACCCCGCCTCCCACTACCTTACATCTCACACATGCGCAGTATGCTACTTACAACTTAACAGGGACAAACGCTAATTGGTATGAAACTGGTCTAAAATATTTATGGTGACTTAATAGCCACTCTGTCTGCCGATTTTGCACTTCACACAAATTTTCCAGTCCACCAATTTTCCTTTCTGTGCACCACCCAGGTCCGTTTACCAGTTCCAGGACTCGACCGAAGACCTTCAGTGTCATTATCTTGAGAAATAAATTGATCTGGTTTAGTGTGAAACATGTTTTAGTGCTGAAAATGATCAAATGCTTCAATTCATACAGATACATAGTGACATTCACCGTCCAGCATTGGGCCTGATTAGCACATCTTAAGGGCGACACCAAGTAAAGCAAAGATTGTAGCACAAGTTCTGCTTTTGTCTTCTCATTCTGCACCTTCTAAGGTGTGCTGGCCTGCCTTAATCAGTTTTTATGTGTAACACAGAAGACTATTACCAGTCTTAAATGTTATGGTTGCATAAGCAAGAAACAGCAGTGTGCATGTGAGCACATAGAAGTGATAGAGGAAAGACACAGAATCATTTTATCCAAAACACAAGTAGTTACAAAAAGATGTGAGCTCAAAACTGTGCATGTCATTCAAAATCACAAATATTTACAATTTTCAAATAGGAATTTCAGTCAACATTTTTTTAAAAATTGCTATACAGATTTTAGTCCTGTTTTGCTTTCAAACCACTGAAATCAAAAATGTCTTTTAGCTCACCATGAACAAATCTCGAGCTTCCAAGTCAACAGCGAGGAGGAAGGCCTTCTCAAAACGCTGATGCCTGCAAAGAAGGCAGAGACAATAAGAGCTCGAAAACTAAAACCGACTAATATCTGTTTAACAAAAGCAACTAGAGGAAATTTACAGATGAATCACACCGACGTACATTTTTCTCCGAGCTTTACATAAATCCACAGATATGCATACAAATCTCTGCCAATAAGAGAACAGTAAATAGCTGGTACTTTTATTATTATCCAGAATAAAGCCAAAAGAAAGAGGAGAGAGAAAAAGAGAGAAAGACAGAGAAAGGGAGAGAGAGAGAGAAAGATGCAAAACAGCCTAACTTTCCCTGTCTATATCCAACATGAAACAAGTAAAGAAGCAGAGAGTGGAGGCTTTCTTTATTTGATGCTGATGGAGAGAAGAAGAATGCAGGTAGGTGATAAGAGAGGAGGAGGGATGCCAAACAACACTCCAGTTCTGGAACAGGGGAGGAAAATGGAGGTAATTGCTAGATGGAGAGCTGTGAGCGGCAGTGTGTGGGAACAACAGGGTCTATTTCAGTCAAACAGGCGTTTCAAAAGGCTCTCATGGCAGAAGGGAAAATGAAACAACAGTTAAACAGGTCTGAGTGAGCGCTGCTCTGCCTCGTGAATGACTCAAAGCTGCATCAGCGCGTGTGTGTGACTGATGACATTCAAAAGCGATGTCCTTTTTTTTAGAAATGTTGAAATAAAAAGAAGCGAGAGGAAAATAGAGAGTGTTAAATTTGTTTCTTTCACTGGTTGTCATTTTTGGACACTTGTTATTCTTTCCTGCACACTGATAAACTCAACAATGTGCTCCAGTAGTGTTTTAAAAATAATTAGTATATGGGTTTTTACACTGCACATCACTAAACTGCAGCCGACCTGGAGGTACAGCTTTTGTTTTATTTCAAGAAATGCTCTCTAGAAGCTAGGCCTGTCACAATAACACATTTTGCGGGATAATGAATTGCCCCAGAAACTATTGCGATAAACAATAATATTGTTATTTTGAGACCATTTTCAACTAATACAATAATGATAATAGCATATCAAGAAAAGTATACTCTCTAAAAGATACAAAATGCACTAATTTCTAAACAATATTTAACACTGGAACTGAAATATATTTTAAATATGTGAAATAAAAAAACAAAGCAACAATAATTAAAGAGGATAATTAAGCTTTTGTAAACAAAATTGCATTTCAAGAAATATTAGTCATTCTGCTTAGGCAGGGAAAACAGGCAAACGCGGCAGGTAGTGCAACCTAACGAAATCGTACTGGGTTTCAAATATTTGCAGTGTTTTTCCAACAATATCAAAGGGGAGCATCTCTCTAACAAATGTTAAGGAGAAATTATTGAGCTCACTTTAATCTACCATGCGACTAGTTGATTTATTGCTTACTGTGACAGGTCTAACAGAAGCTGAACTGAATCGCACAAAACTAATTTGTCTCTCAGTGCATTAAATTAAGAGCCAAGCAGCAGCAGCATGTTGGAGACGGTTGTGTTACCTGAGGAGGTGGTGAAAAAGGCGGCGAGCGTACTTGGTGACCGGCTCTCTGTACTCCAGTATGATGGTATCGGGCAGAGGGGCAGCCGGGGCATAAAACACCCGCAGGGCCGCTTCCAGCTGGGCTGCACAAACATTGGGAATGTCAACACACCAAAAACACACAAACTCTTAAAAAGGTTTTTTTGGTCTAGTAGTTCAAATCTTAGTACACTTAAACTAAGATGAAAGTAATTTAGATGAAAGTAACAGAAAGACAAATGAGCTTGTTTTAAGTCAATAATTCCTTAATATTGATGAAAACTACTAGTTTCACTGGCAGATTATTTCACTTGTAATATGCAGAAATGTCTTTGTTATAAGCTAAATAATCTACCACTGGAACTAGTGCATTTTAAAATCAATACTAAGAAATTATTGACTTAAAATAAGCTCCTATATCTTGCTGAAAAGTTACTTGTAAGTTAGATAAATTGTACTAAGATATTTTCAGAGGAACTAGACAAAAAAAAAAATACTTTGTAAGATTTTGTGTTTTTGCAGCGTGCTGACAGTAAGACCAAAAATAAAATGTTAATTAAGGGGTGTTCACAACAATCTGGCATTTTAACAGAGGTTGCAGACATCCACAGGACTAGAAAGATTTTCAATGGAAAATATTTTAACTAAATAACAACCAAATTTTCTGATAGTCGTGGTAGCATAAAACTAGTGGTGTGACCCACAGCCTCACCTTCCCTGTCTGCGTCGAGCGGCAGTCTCAGCAGGTGGTTGGTCACAGAGCTCAGGCCTTGGTAGCTCTCATCCGCCATGGTGCTCCAGTCCATGGCTTCCAGGATGCCCAGCGCCTCTCTGACCTGACCGCAGTGGAGCCGCTGCTGCAACAACTCCACATGGCCCAGCTGGCCTCCAGTTAGAGCTCCTGCCACGTAAGGTCAGAGTTCACATTCAGAATCAGTTTCATTGGTCAAGACCGTGTGCGTGAACAAAGAGTTTGAGATCGGTGTACACATGTAACGTATGAATATTAAACTTTAGGGAAATAAAAGGAAGTGAAAGGGACAATACGCATAAGTATTTTTAGCCATTTTGTTTTGTTTTTTTTATAAAGAAAGTAAAAAGAGTGATTGTTGTGACATCACAAATATGCTTATATGTAGTTAAACAGTTTGTGTCCAGGATGTGTGAGGTCTGCAGAAATGTTAGCTGAATTTTTTTTTACCCTTGGCTAGCTCTGAGTAAGTCCTGGATGGAGGGAAAGTCAGCTCCTCTCAACCCCCTCCACACATCCTCACACCTGGCCTGTGTCTCTTGGCTCCGCCCATTTGTTTCCCTTACGGATGCTAATACCCAGCCAGCATGCCTAGGTGGGACCCATGTGGGGACAAGGAGGGCAGACTATATGGGTCCCATATGGGTTTGTCCGCGGGTTCCACGATGGCCCCACATGGGTTTGCCCATGTAGAGCCACAGCCCACATGGGTGCTACATGGGCCCTAATTGGACAAAACCCATGTGGGCCACCACCATATAGGGCCCATGCAGGGCCCATGTGGGCTCTGGCCCTACATGGGCAAACCCATGTGGGGCCATCGTGGAACCCGCGGACAAACCCATATGGGACCCATATAGTCTGCCCTCCTTGTCCCCACATGGGGCCCACCTAGGCATGCTGGCTGGGGTAGCCCAGGTCAGGCGCTTCTGCCGCTGTTTCTGGTTCAAAAGTGGCT